ACTCGAACACAAGACCCTTTAAGTATAGCTAACCTTAGTGACTAAAGAGTTTGTCATTCGACCACAAGAGGAGAGGTGAGGAATCCATTATTTATTGTTACAATTTCAAACCCAATAAAAAACTCATAACTCATGAGATCTCATCAATTAATAAAGATAAAAGAAAAATATTTTTTAAGTAAAATAACAAAAAATGAGCATCAAGAACCTTGTGACCTTCAAAAGAGTAGTATTTCTTGATTAATCCAATCGACCAAAGGAAGAAGAAAATATGAGACGAGAGAAGAGAGAAAATGTGAATAATTGTTAATTAATATAAATTTTTTATGGGGTCAATATAAATTTAAGTGGGGTCAAAATTGTCTATTATTATTAAAAAAAAAAAAAAAAAAACCTATTTTAAATTTTCAATAGTGAACCCATCTGGCCATTTTCAATAAAGTGGTTACGTCCCTGGAGATGAGAGATGACACCCTCTTAAGTTTCACTATATGACGTGGGTAAGGAAAAAATTTAAACCTCACTATTTGAGATGACACTTGAAGAGACGAATCTAAACTCTATTATTTGAGATAGATTAAAAAAATACAAACCCCACTAAATAAAATGATTAGAACAATTTAAGTGGCGAACGTCTCCAAATCCCATTTGTGATTTAGATTGTGGTTCACTGAATTCTGATCTTGGCCCACATATTTATACCCAAATTTAAGACTTGTTTTTGGCGTTTTAAATTGTTGGCGGAGACTTCAGCTCCGGGGGGCCTCAGCAAGCTACTACTTCCAGCAATAGCAGGCTTCGAAAAGAACGTATACAACAAAATATTAAAATTTAATTACCCACCACCTAATGGTCAAACTGGTTTTTAATGGCGGCTTCAATGCCCTGTCTTCATACTTTGGAGAGGTAAAGTTGGTTCCAAGAACGTGTAATTTTAATGGCCTTTCATTATGCTGAACTGGCAAAATTTTATCTGCCTGATTTCAATTCAATATTAGTGGGTTAGTGGGTTTACATTATGATCAAATGCAATTGAAGAAAGATTCATTAAAACCAGAACAGGGAACTGCTAGACATTGGGAAAATTTTGAGAAGGAAAATGCGGCACGGTATTGGCAATTCAGGGGTGGAGAGAAACGTGGTTGTTGTCTTTTGTATTTGTCATATTCAATTATTGTAGTTTGACAAATACTGATCAGGTCCTTTTTGGAGAAAGTTTTGGGCATGCGACACTCACTGACTCAACAGTATAAGAAGCTTTATAATTCCTCAAGAAGCCCCACGGTCTTCCCTTGTTTTGTCATGCATATTTCTCAAATTTTAATTATATTTTATACTGTTTTAGATGTTAACTAGGTAGAAGAATCAATCCATTTGATTTGTGAATTGGTAGATGATCTTTGTTCTTGCTGTTTGGATTTGGGGTTGCGACAAAAAAATTTACAAAAGAAAGTGACCTATGATATGGTAAAACTCTTTTTTTTTTTTTTTTTTAATCAGTGTTTGGACTTACTTACGCATATTTCAATTAGTTCTCGTAGACACTAGTACAACAACCCACGGTCACGATGGCCAACTTAAATCGGATACTCAGACGATCATTTGGCCTACCCACAGATGGGTGACAAAACTCTTCAAACTCAAATACCCGTATGAAAATTCACCAAAATGTATGCCTCATAATAATCAATTCCCCAAAAGGTGAAATATTGAATGATGGTGGACTTCTCAATACTGTAACCCTCCTTGCTTAACTGTATTCATTTCTATGTTTACAATTGAAAACTAAAATTCAAGAAAGGTAGAAGGGAAACTGTAAATGAAGAAATGTATGTGAAGGAATCAATCAATGAATGCCCTCATGATTGCTATCTATTAGAGTTTTGACATATACTATTTGTTTTTTCTTGTGATTGAATTGGTACATTAATTAACCAAAGTGTTGTTGTGGTCCTCCTCCCTCCTTCATCATTTGAAGGGAAAAGATATGAGAATGTCATCTACATCTTCATCATGAAAAGGTATATACCATATGATAGGATAAACCAATTTGTGTTTGTGCTATGATTCATCAACTCCACTACAATCCACTTATCTTTTACGTCTCTCCAACGGTAATACTACACTCACAAACCTATCTTATTAACTTCTCTTATAAACGTTACATGACAGCTCGTAATTAGTCAGTTTGCAATGAGTTTTGTTTGCCCAACAATGAGTCATACCTAACCAATTACGAGCTGTCACGTCGGTTTGTAGAAAAAATTAGTGAAAGGGTTTGTCAATCTATCTTTAATACTTTATCGCTCTCCAACAACACCAAAAAAAAAAAAAAAAAAAGAATCACAAAAACCCACTTGGTAGAAACAAAATACCTTTGATTAAATCATAATCAGTTTTGATCTAAGTAAGATAAATATAATTAGGCATGTGGTAGGTTCTTATTAATGACTCACCCTTGGGTAGTTAAAGTGGCAGGATGGGCTTTAGAATGCATGGTTAAGACGTACGGTCTCAGGTTTGAATCTCTTTAACTCTCAAGATTTAAGTATGTGATAATAAAGGTATGCACGAGTTGATCTAGACAGCTTGTTTAACAAATAAAAAAAAAGGTTCCGTTACTTCAATTATTATAATAAAAATATAGCATATGAAGATGAATTTATAAGAGATTGGGAATCCAATAATAATAATTTTTTTTTTTTTGTATTTATTAATTTGTATGTTATGGTTGTACTATATTCACATTTATCAAAATATGGGACCATTGCTAGGGTATCTCCACTAACCAAGGTACATTAATTTTATTTTATTTTTATTATTGGTTGTTGCGTTACGAACTTTATTTGAGTCACGACAATGAGTTTAATGATCAAATTGTGCTACAGTACTACTGGTTTTTTTTAAATATATTATCCAGTTTAATCAATCAACTGCTTTTGACTTTTGATCAGCAGTGTGTGTAATGCTTTCTAAAACTACAAGTGTAAGGAGCAGCATGGATTGGTTCAAACAAATACCCACTTGATTAAATTATGCTTTTTATGTGACTTTAATTCAAGTTTAAATTAATACAATGACATTTAGCCACAAGAGCTTTTACTCGGTCAGTAAAATACATATAAATTGGTCCGGACACTTTCGATCATAAAAATAAAAAATAAAAATTCAAGTCTAAATCAACAAACTCTACGCGAAATATGTATAAAATTTAGGTTGCAACCCAGTTAACAATGTTGTAATGGGATGAGTCCAGTTTTGCTTCAAATACTGTCAAAGCCCAGCCCGGCTCATTGGCTTGTTATGGCCTTTCTAGTTTCTACTGTAAAAAGTAAAAACTACGGCAAACTTCAATAACGGGGTTTCAGCATATCCTCATGTCTCTTAGTGCTTAATCCATGAAACACCAATTCCAGTTGGCCTTTGAATTTTTTACAGCAACTTCACAAGATAATTTCTATATTCATATAGCAATACGTGGTTTAAGATTTTGCAGATGATGTAAATCTGCTTTGGCAACAGAAAAAAAGTTAATTAACAAACAGCGTATTGTAAATTTGAGGGCCAAGAATAATTGAGCAGGCTAGAAGGAGATCTTCACATGGTGGATGTGGATGATGTGCAGATTCCAGAAGACGGCCAGCAGCATCGCTAAAGCATTTGCATATGAACAATGGAGGTACCAGTAAGCTACATTCCTGTATCAGAGAAACCAATTATACCAGTCCTATATTTGACAAAGTAAAAAAACATTCTTACTCCTCATTACATTAGTTAATGAAAGTTATAATTTTTTTATGATCTAAACTTTTAGTTTAGCTACTGTGAAATTTTTTAACATTACAATAAAACTTGTAATTACTTCTATTCCTTCTTAAAGGTTTGTGTCAACATCAAGCGCCTAACGTTGTGCAAGGTTTTCATAGTATGGTCTATACTTCGTGGCGATCTGTTGCAGTTACGGAGAAGTCGCTCCGTTTGTTTAGTTTTTTTTGGATAACATTATATTCTGAAAAGGATTTTTAGAAAATATGATAGGATTCTTAGAATATTTTTAATACATTTTTTTAAAAAAATTAGATTATTTTTAACTCTTTAAATTTGTTAATTTAACTAAACACCCCCACAACAAAAGTTTATAAATTAACAAAAGCACCCCTACTCATCCAACTATTGCTGGCAATCGACCATCATCGTTGAACAGTGGCCGAAAGCCGTCAGGATGGTGCATGACCGGCTGGATCTAGTCGATCGTGTGCCGATTTGACCTTTTGTGGCCAGATCTAAGACCCTGAATCTGATTATTGACAACCATATTTGGTCGTCATCAATGACTAGATCTTTGGCCTTAGATTTAGCCAAAAACGAACAGATTGACGCACAACTGGCCATATTCAACCAGTTGTGCATCATTAAGGCGTCGACGGCCAGCAGTGGCAACGATGGAGGCTATTGGCAGGTGATAGTGGTTTGGGTGAGTGATGGTATTTTTGTTAATTTTAAAACTTCTATTGAGAAAAATAATTATTAATGTTTTGAATTGAATAAAATAAGATTGGATTTAAAAAAATATTAAAACAAATTCATTTTTAGTTTTTAGGATAGGATAGGATAGTGGAAAAATAGTGTCAAACATTGGGCTACATTTTTGGATAGTCTTACTCCATGGCTGATGCTACCAGCTGAAAAGGCCAGTACTCGTCGTCTACGAGGTTTTTTCAGTTTCTCAGATGATGTGACTTGCCAATTTACCTAAACAGAATCAGAAGTTAACAAGAGCTGAAAGATGCTCTCTGGTTGGAAATCCAATAGCACAAATAAATAACTAAATTAAGCCAACTGTGGAAACACTCGAGTTTTGATTCCAACACTATCATAGCCATCAGCCAATCTTTGCGTTTACTTATAGATAAGCTCGTGGGCTTCTGCTTTTAATTTGTACATCATTTCTAAGTGCTTAATCCATGAAAAACCAATTCCAGTTGCTCCATTTAAAGGGCATTAAGAAGACAATTAGAGTGAGAACAATGGTTTCGCAAAAACTCAAGAAAGCCAAGTTAAATATAGAAGAAAAAGGAGCATGTTTGTGTTTCAAGTCTGTACTAGGATTCAGCACTCCTCAAACGCTTTCCGGACTCAGCAAACACTTAACAATGTTCATAAATCACAATGTTTCACTGCATTGTCAAAGTGGCTATGACAGCACAACTTTTAACACAAAACCAATTCTAGATAAATACCAAGAAAATTAAAAACAATACTTCATGCTATTGATGTAACCAATTGGGTGAGCAGGTCAACCTCATGGAAAACGGACGAGCCTGTTTACAGCTGTGTCTAGAGCATCTACATTCCTCCTCAGCATTTTTCTTCACTACAATTAAGGAACCAAAATGCCAGCATAAGCAAATATAGTATGTGACCAATATTCTAAATTCTATAGAAACATTGAGACACAGGTTTCTGGGTGGTGTTTATGAACAACTAATATAGACCACTTTGGCATATTCCACATGAGGGGAAAGCAGGATAAGTCCATGGGTCCTTCATTAGCAGTTCCAAGTGGTAGGAAAAGAGCCAACCAATGTAAAACAACACCACAAAAACCAATTATGAAGGATACAGTTGTGCAGCTAGACTGTCAACGCCTTTCATTTCCTCATTTAATCTGAAAATGAACATGGGTCAGACCGTATTCAACATGCAAAAAGTATATCCTTATATGTAAGCATGAATGTCGATGTTGTATTTCCACTCCAAGCTAGCAATAGAAGTGTCAAAGGTCTCTGAGACCCTAGTTACTAACTACAAAGCATCCCAGTTTTCATCTGAATGTCAATTGTCAGCAGCTTTTCTTTCCTACAACAGTCAGGCTTTCCATTCTTACAGCAACTTCACAAAATAATTTCTTATTCAGATAGCAATACGTGGTTTGAAATTTTGCACATAATCTAAATCTGCAAAATTGCAAATTTTCATTGACACGAGAAAAAGTTAATTAAACAAACAGCATATTGTGAATTTAAGGACCAAGATTAATTGAGCAGGCTAAAAGGGAATCTACATCTGGTGCCAGAATCAATGGAAGTGTCTCTAAAACCATGTCCCAATTCAGATCAAAACGAAGCCGTAAAAGTACAAGATGTTGCTCGTATTTAGAGCAAAAGTTCAGTCCATAATTGATTGAGAGAAATAAACTCAAATACAACTTCAAAATTTATGACTCAAAACCTAGTTTTGAACCTTTTGGATCAAAATTTCAATATATCTCCAACATTTTTAAATTACAAGAACTAATTTTCATCCTCACTTGTTAATCTAAAGACTTAAAAAGTTGAGAATGAAAGATACCTGAGACATGAATTTATATATCGGTTGCCCTTTGTTGCTGCATCGAGTACTGCAAAACAAGAGGATGAAATGAAGGGAGCAATTGATATCAGAATAATCATTAAAATGAGATCTATGATACTTCTAATGACTTTAACAAAATGCAAATAAACATAAACCGGGGAAGCCTTAGTGGCGCTGACAAATTGTGCTTTGTACAACATATTTACAGAAACGAAGTATTTTTCCATATTCACAAATGTTTTGGCAATTGAAGCGAGAGAGAATAAGTGATGGGCCTTTAGCCCTAAAATAGAAGAAAGAGTGGGGTTTGAGGAGTTATCCATGCTGAGATTAAAACAAAATCTCAGAAAAAATTCCTCTAGAAAGTGATCATAGGCCTTGTTTCAAACTTGTGCCCGAAATCTTTTTCTTGTTATCCCATCTGACATCTATCATATTCTACAACAACTTAAATCGAATAACACTAATCCTAAAAAACCATGCTACTTTGAATCTTTCCCACAAATAAATACTATTGCATTAAATTTTTAACCAAAATCATTCATTTACCTGATTCCTGGAGACGGCCTGCAGCATCACTAAAGCATTGCATATGATCTACAGAGGTATCGGTAACCTACAACAATCAGTTTCGTCTATCAGACAAGCCAATTATACCAGTCCTATATCTGACAAAGAGAAAAAATCTATCTCATCATTAAACTTAGTTAATAAAAGAAAGAAACTTTTTATGATAACTTTTACTTCAGCTCGTGTGAAATTTTTTAATAGTTCAAAACATTACATACAAGTCAAAGTTACATTCTTCTCATTTTCCCAAGTACTACTCGCCAAAAAAAAAAATAAATAAATAAATTAAATGGTTCCAGAGCTTTGATTTTGTTCCGTTTCCTTTACAATTTTGACGGCAAACAAACAGAACCTAAAACAGCAAAGATCACATAGCAATTTAAATAATACTGAATTACTATAATTATTAATTCTCAGAAGACCCTAAAAATAAACATAGCTAATTCTAAGAATTTAACTAAAAAGAATTAAACACCATATAAATTAAGAAATATCATTTCATGTTCTTACTAATTGTATTGTGAAACAAAAAGACAGTAAAACAACCTTTTTGTTAACCAAAAAAAAAAAAAAAAAAGCTGACTGACCTCGGAGAGTGCCAAGCGGAGAGAAGCGAAGAGAGAAGAGAAGCTCTCAGCAATGGCCACGGAGTCTCTCTCCACCACCTCGAGAGCTTTCACGATGTCGTTTCGGTTTAAGGACGGTTTCGATCCGCCGTCTCCAGGGGAATCTTGTGTAGAGTCGGGACACGTGGACGTTGGATCTACGTTTGGTCCCAATACTGGGGCTTCTGGATACTGAGGTTCTTGTTGCTGTCGCTGCTGCCGCTGATCCATTTCGCGCGAATTGGTGGCGTAGTCAGTGGGTTTATTTTAATTTAATAATAATAAGAAGAAGCAGCTTAAAAAATAAGTAAATGGCGGTTATAAATAGAGAAATATTTGTTATATCAAATTCATTTATTATTAACTTTTCAATATCTTAATTTAAGTAAATAATTTATTATAATATTGGTGGATTTTTAAATAATCAGTAGCAAATAATTCAGTTGTAGAACGTGACGACATAAGCAAAAGTCGGGGTACTTTATAGAACTAGTGAATTTCTGGTTTTCAAGGTCGATTTGAGAAGTAATACTTGGACAGAGATGAAGAATTTGGGGAATAGAGCTGTGGTTGTGGGTTATAATTCTTCCTTTTCTGTTGAAGCAATGCTCTGCAAATCTAATTGCATTTACTTTACTGATGATTGGTGGGATACTTATATTGGTCGCACCTCCCATGGAAGAGAAGGAAAGGATATGGGAATTTATAACCTCCAAGATGGAAGCATTGAGCCACATTTTAGGGGCGACTCATATAGCTTTATTTAGAAAAAGTGTATCCTATTACAAATCAAATTCCTTATATATTAAAACATCTCTATAGTTATAATGATGAGACTAATTAATTTTATTACTATGAGGAGGTTATAATTTAATAAAAGTGTAGTTAAAAAAAAAAAATTCATAATTCATGTTTTAGTAGCGCAATATTAGAATTTCAATTCATGTTTTAATAATATTAGGGTTTCAATTCAGCGCTTCAATTGTCTACTTTTGAAATAGATAAATGTAGATGCAAAAAATCTACCGTCATGAAAATAGGGTCTGATCTCGTGAGGTTGAGGCCACTGACAATCTGCTAAACCTGCACACATGAAAGGGCAAGCGTGAAGGTTCTAGAAAACACCAGGGTGGTGTTTGCCGTAAGCACTCTAACGCTCAAGTCAGTAAGGCTGAAAAAGATTATTTGATAAGAATTAAGGAGATGAAGAATTACCAAGAGTCTTGTCAGAAGCTAGGACTACAGCGGAGGGCGGAGGCGTCGGGTCTTAGGAGCAAGAACTTTATGAGCAAATAGATGGTTTTGAATAGTCTAGATTGACTATGGGAGAGATTGCCCCTTAATGAGAGGGCAATCCTCTGTTTTTATAGTGAACCAAAGGGGTTGGAATCCTAGTATGACATTGAGTCCTCTTTTTTGGGAGATAATCCCTATCAAGAAATAAATACGATTTTTTGACCTTATTAGATTAAGTTCTATAGTTTAAATAAGATTTGGAATCTTAGTAGGACACTAAGTCCTATTTTGGGAGATAATCCTTATCATGAAAGAGATATGATTTCTTGACCTTATCAGATTAAGTTTAATAGTTTAAATAAGATTTGGAATCTTAGTAGGACACTAAGTCCTATTTTGGGAGATAATCCTTATCATGAAAGAGATATGATTTATTGACCTTATCAGATCAAGTTTAATAGTTTGAGTAAGATTTGAAATCTTAGTAGAAGAGGAAATAGAATGAGATTTTGATTTACTATTTATAGACTGTTGCAAGCTAATGGGCTGAAACCCAGTTTAGCTTAACTTATAGGATAGCCCAACTCATAGAGTGGGTAGTTCGCAAGGTGATTTTAAGCATAGGCCCAATCAGGATTAGGTTGAGGCCTTGGGCCGTGGCATGTTTATTTCGTTATTGGGCCTCGTCAAGCCCAAGATGATTTTTGACCCTAACAATAGAAGATCGTGTTTTGAAACCAATAAAGATAACTATCATTAATGAATTGTAAATGCAGTTGCTGCATAATAGCTTATGTGAAACCAGAGACAATTGTCAATTGTTTTAAGTATTACAAAATTATGACCTCCGATGTCGATAAATTGCAAGTTACAACTGAAATGAATGAGGGGAATCAAAGAGTCATTGTAGAATTAAGTGATCAGATTCGACAACTTCACTATACTAATCTAATGAATATTAATGTCTTCCTTAATCATCCAAATGAGTAACAAGTCATTTAACAAAAGAAGAAATTATTTCTACAATTAAACAAGAAGATAAAGGAAACAATTATGAGAATGATAGTACGGAAATACAAGAAGTTGTATGTCAAGAAACTCTAAACATGTTTGAGAAGCTATAAATGTTTTGACTTTAATAAGAAAATATTATGCTAGCGAGTAATGTACCCGCAAGTTCAAAGATGTAATAACAACTCTAAAGTATAAATTATTGTCCCAAACAATTTCAGATAAATATTTTATTTCATCTTAAGCCTTTAATGTAATATACCATATTTTTTTTTTTTTTTTGGTAATATACAGATAATTATTATTATGTGGAGGCAACTTTCCTTAAGACGGGAATTAGAAAAATTATAACTTATTACAATGTGGAGTTTGTTCTTATTTATAATTATCCCAAATTAGGAATATAATTTTTTATGACTATATAGAGTTTATTCCTATATAGAGTATCACTATAGAGAGGTTTTACAGTATTAGTATGGATTTTATCAAGTATGGTTCAAATATACAATACACTTGACTTATTTAGGTCCTCTTGTTTAATCAATGTGTTACAACTTTCATCTAAAAGTGTCAACAATATAGGCGACTAATATGATATATTATGACTTTTATTTTCATTTGTTTTGTTTTTATCATATGCTTTTCTATTTTTGAATTTCGATTTCTAAACCTACTTATATAGGTTTCATTTAGTTCATTATTTGATGATTTTTAGAATAGTATTTTGAAAAAAGTAAAATTGTGTTATCTTTACGAGAAATGTAGGCTTCTTGTTGTATTTTTGGAAATACTACTTTTAGTATTCCAAAAAAAGTTAAACAGTAAAATACCCAAAAACTCTGATTTTTTAGAATACTACTCTCAATATTATTCAACTTTTTTTAAACCCTCTAAATTTGTTAATTTAATTAAATACCCCTAAATATTTTTTTTAAAATTGCAAAAACACCCCAACAATCCACATTAACCAAATTCTGGCCACCACCGCCGGAAAATGGCCGAAAACTGGTAGGATAGCGCACTACCGGCTAAATCTGGCAGTAGTGCGCCGATCTAGCCTTTTTCGGTCAAATCTAAGGCCAAAGATCTGGCCGTAACCAGTCGGTAACGACGGCCAACAAACGGTCGTCGTTGACCATCAACGACGACCGTTTGTTGGCCGTCGTTGACGAGCAAATACGGCCAGATCTGGCCGGCAAAGGCCAAATCTATGGCATCTGGCCATCAATGGCCAGATATAGCCATAGATTTGGCCTTTGCCGGCCAGATCTAGTCGTAGATCTGGCCTTTACCGACCAGATCCACCGTGGATCTGGCCAGAAAAGGCCATATCGACGCACGACCGGCAAGATCTAGCCGGTCATGTGTCGATACGGCGAATCTGGCCACCCTCTGGCGGTGGTGGCCGGCTGTCCATATTTGAGGGTAGGTTGGGGGTATTTTTGTTAACTTTTAATGTTTTATTTTAGGGGGTATTTTGTAAATAAACAAACATATGAGGTATTTTATTAATTTGTAAATCCTACATCGTAATACCTGCCCAATTCAACTTTTTTTTAACTTTTTTCAAAAAACTTTTCCCAAAAACACAAAATTGTGAACCAAATGGAGCTGTAATTATTAATGTTTTTTGAGATGAATAAAGTAGAATAGGATTTGAGAATATTGAAACAAATGCATTTTTGGGTTTTCAGGATATAATAGTAGAATAGAATAAGGATATAATATTGAACCAAATGAAGCCTAGCTTTTCTATTCTTTTGCATTTAGAAGGGCATATAAATAAATATATATTGAGAAGCAATGTAAAATAAATAAATTATATAATTTGATAATCTAATAAATCAAAAAATCAGACAATAAATCCCTATGGATTGAAGCCAGAAATTCCACAAAAAAACCATATTTTGGGTGAGCCCCAAGAAAATCAACTTTTAATTGGGAGCAAAAATAAGTTCATCTCAATTTTTTGTTTTTATAATCCAAATTTGGAACATTCTTCCAATAAACATTACATGTCAAATGGGGTGATTTCCTGTACCAAAGTTGTTAGGCCCATTTGAGTTAGGGTAAGGCCCATTTAAGCTTGTTCCACGTGCAAAGTGCTAAGAAAGATCCTAGAAATTACACCTGAACAATTTTAAGAGTTGATTATGAACTATTGTTCTTGTAGTAGCATACAAAGACTTAAAGTCAATGAGACAATGAGAGTTTACAATGATTCGGATGCTTAAAACGAATCCTACATCCACTGTTTTTTTTATATGAGTGAGTTATTGGTTATTAGCCAAGTTTACAAGAGGTCACAAACTGCAATATGAATTACAGGTGCTTGATGTTCTAAGTGTTCTTAGAGAATATCAAGGTAGTCACTTTCTCGTAGGGTGTCTTTGCTATTTTCTTTGTTGAATTCAGAGTGTCTGATCTATATCTTGTGAGGATGAGTTGCCTATTTATACCTGTTAAGCTCAAAGTAATGATTACAAATTTGCAAGTGGATTGGTGCAGTTCAAATTCCTCCTAGTGTCCCATTGATCGATAACTTAAGAAATATCCATAAATTAAATGGGGCTTGGATAAGAGTGCGAACCAAAGTCATTCACAGACAAAACTTCAGTCGACTGGGTTGTTGACAAATATATTATTTCTACTTTGGGCTACGCGACAGACTCTGGACGGCACAAAGCCTTTCTAAACTCTTATTGGTGCTCGTTGATATCAGTTTATATTAACCTTGATTTTTTATACATAACACTACCCATGGAGAAAATTAATCTACTATTCTACCAAACATTAAATATTAAATAAATAATAAATTGATAAGTAATGTCGTATACTACATAAGATGAGATATAATTTGGAAAACGTAACAATTAAAAAAAAAATATATATTAAAACATATCGAAGAATTTTCATTTTTGAAATTTAAATCAAATGCTTCTGAGAATTATTTCAATTTTTTTAACATAGGTTTTCTAATTGATTTTCCCAGAATTGGCGAATTAAAGCAGGCGGCGACGTGTGTTTATACTAGTGGCTGATTAAATTAGGAAT